CAGAACCGGAAACCAAAAGAGATCAGCGAAAAGCAGGGCAAATCTGCTACCGGACTTCAGAGCACTTAAGACCTATGGCTCTAAGTAAGTACCAGTACAACTGCTGCACGTGACTTCGGCTGGATTGCCAGGGCTCCTTCGTTCGTTTAGGACCTGCCGGAAGCTGGGCGAATCCGAATCCCAGGCACAACCTCCGAAACCCCCTACAAATAGCCCTTACAGCGTACCCGTACAGCTACCCTTCTAGGCTTGTAGCCTCATAGCATAAGTCCGCCTTCTCGGACCAGGACTCCACACAGGGAAGTTCGGAGGCCCAGAGCCGCCCATCACTGGGCTCCGCCAGAAGCTCCTGGCATGGGCCCAGGGCTTCGGGCTGGAGCTCTGACTTTGGAGACGGGTTTCTTTTGTTTTGAACGCCTTTTTCCGTCTGATGGAGCATCCTTCATCCGAAATCTGCCTGAACAGAAGGCTCACACATCGCACCCCTCAGAAGCATAACACGATGATCGTCGCAACCAAGTATTGCACATAGCACACCCAGTTCACAACTCTGGCTCTTGACCTCCCTCTTTTTTTGTCTCAGCGAGCGATGCGACCACGGCTTTTGACCTGTACAAACATACGCACGGATTTGCGCATGTGGGACATTGCGAGGAATTGGGGAAAGGCGCGACTTGAAGTGCACCGATGAAAATTTGGTACTGCAAGGCAGTGTGCATAGCACGAAAAAAGATATAGTGACAGAATTGTGTTGGACACCTTGTGAGTGCCTGGATCCCAGTCGAGTCTACCTCGCAACCAACTGCACAACTCAAAAGAAGTAGCGGCAAGCAAGGAAGACAAGGATCACAGACCCGATGTTCAAGTGCACCGCTGCTGAGTCTGCTGCGCCTCCCGCAGTTGTAGACACAGTGGCTGCGCCTCCTGCAGTTGTAGGCACAGTGCACTCAGGGAAGGTAACGATCCAGGATGACGTGCCGTTCTCGACTGGCGTGCATGGGCCCTGCTCATAGACCTGCGTCGTTGCTTCACCGCTGCAGTCGTTGGTGGTGTACACGTGGTAAGCGATCGATCCTTCACTGCATGTGAACTTCTGGGATGTGGTCAATCCGGTTAGTGTGCACGGCCCCAAATCGACAGAGTACGTGGCCTCCAGCGTAGAGCAAGCGCCGTCCGTGTGGACGCTGATGTTGCCCGAAATGCCTGCAAATGGGGTCGTTGTGGTGGTAGTGCAGAGTTCGGCAACTTCATCATCGGAGCCGAGAATGATGGTTCTCGAATACCGACCTCCGGACCCTGCAGAGCACGAGCCCAGATCGTCAGAGCCCAAGGTTGAGCACATTTGACTGCCAGTACAGTCGCTGTTGCCGTACCAGCAGTTCATTAGCTTATCTCCGTAGCACGACGACAGGCGGCTGACGAATCCCGGGACGTCACTCGAGGCAATGCAGAGGTGAGCACTCAAGGAAGTCATCACTGGCGCACCGGAACAGGTGTCATCGCCCACATCATAGACGGTCGCAAGTTGCCCATTGGCTGTCACCAGCTTCACCTTCTCGTATACGCCTGCGGCGGATTCCTCGCACTCGTCCAGCTTCGTGGTGGTGTTCGCGCTGGGCCTTCAATTTGGCCGAAGCAAGCAAGAATGCTCTTGCCAGCATTTTGTCTGGCGGGACAGGTCTCAAAGGGCGACGGGAAGCACGGTCTCGAGCCAAGACTGTCTTGAGCCAGGTGGAGAGAAAAAACATGAAAAGCAGTCGTGTCACCATGCAGCTGCACCAGGAAATGGAAATTGAACCCAGAGCTGAATGCTGAAACTCCCTCAAATCCCGGCCACGAACTGCCGCGCTCGCCCGCCTCGGGCTTGAACGGAAGCGTGAACTCCCGCATGGCTACGTCACAATCTGA